GAACGCAATAATAAAAAAGCCTGGTGTGTTTTTTAAAGCTCATGTAAACAAAAAAGGACCCTTATTGATACGCTATCCTTCCTCCATTAAAGATCCTTCCCCAGGGATTTTTCTCACACTTCTGTCTCTGTCTCTCAACCTTCCCTTTTCTTCCCTTCCTTTCTCTCTTAGGAACGCAACGGACTCTCACTTTATAGGAAAAAGAGGAAAAAGGAGAAAAATGCAGAGCTTCAAAGCTGCAGCTCCTACTAACCCAGACATGTTTTGCCACTCTTCTTTTTTCCTCAGGTACATTTACTTACTTTGTCATTAAGCTATCATTTTCGTTTTTGTTTTGTTGAAAGTGCATGCCTTTGATTACAAGGCAATAGTTGTACTTTTATATATATGTGTATATGTGAAGGAAAAGAAAAAAAGAAAGAAAGTTGGCTGTTGTTTCTGTTGTAGTACAACGAAAGAAACATGCTTTGTTCTGATCCTTTTGGTATCTCTGTTTCGTTTGAGTTGAAAACAGAGGAGAGGATTGTAATAGCCGTCACCAGACGCGTTTTTCGGATCTTGGAGAGCTTGATCATCCAGCTCCTGCTTTTCAGCACGATGATGCTGTTGATTTAAGCCCAAGTATTCTCTATTTCTTTTCTTTTCTTAACTGCTCTCTGGAAATTTCAGTTTCTCTAACTACTTTCTCTGTTTATAAAATTCCTTGTAGGCTCCATTTTTAGTTTAAAATCCAGCAATGTTGGCGTTGTTGCCAATAGCTTAAACTATGGCTCCTTGAACACGGTACTCAACCCCCCAGCAACCTCTTTGTACATAAGAGACATAAGCTTGTTTTTTTATACATATATTTTGGATTGTTTTGATGCTCTATGCAAATGGTTTCTGTTGTGGTGTAGAGCATTGGGGCAACAGAGATAGTTTCAAGTGGAACGGGGTGTTTGGACACAGGGCAGTTCATGTACCAGAAAGGGACAACGTTTGGTGCCTCGTTGGGAAATGGCCATATTGAAAACTGGGCTGACTCTGGCCTTGCAGATAATAGCCAACAGACTGACACTTCTACTGATGTCGACACTGATGATAAAAACCAGGTTTGGTCCCTGTTTCTTTTATGTCCGTACTCTTTTTATGCTGTTTCTTTCTTTCATGTGTTGTTCCAGCGGGAACACCATTAGGCTAGAAATTTTACTTCACAGTAGAATCATGTTTTGTTCTAAAATCCTGCTAGTTGTAGTAGAACATTCTGTTCCTTTTTGGGTGATTGTGATGGTGACTTTTTCATTAATAGGACTGCCTAGTTTGCCAAAGCTCATCTTTTAAATTGATTTTGAAAATTTGCTGGCTGACAGTTAATTGTTGTTAACTGACCAAAGAAGTTTGATAAACGAATTGTTGCAGATCATAAAAACTTTTAACAATTAGTTTGTTAGTGAATCGTTGTTTAAATCTGAGTGCCGTTAAAGTGTTACTTAAAATTATTTGGCTTGGTTGGGTTTTATTAACTTATGATAGTGGTTCTTGATTGTGTTGTAGCTTAATGGTGTTCAACGTGGAGCTATTATAACTGTGGATTCTGTGGATCAGTCCAAGCCAAAAACTGGTGACCAAAAGGTTGTTAACATTATTGGAAAGCCCTGCGGAATCAGTTTTAATATATGAAAGCTAACTATGTGGCGTCTTGCTTTCTATTCTTCAGACACTGCGTAGGCTGGCACAGAATCGAGAAGCTGCGAGGAAGAGTAGATTGAGGAAAAAGGTAATATGTATATCGCTTGTTAATTATGTTTTTCTTGTTCTGTGGTGGAGAAATAGGATTCCTGGGCTCTGTCTGGCATTTTTTTTTTGTTTTTCTCCACTTGAAAGTAGATTCAAATGATCTGATAGGCCTTGAATTGTTATTTATGGATTTTATTTTTGGAGTTTCGAAACAGCATGGTCATTTGATAGTGATTAGCCTTCTGCAAGTTTAGGATTTGTTGTTATGGTCAGTTTTAGCGAGTTGAGAAATTGATGCCTGGTTCATGTATGGGAAAAGGTAGCGGTACGAGGCACTGCAATGGGTTTTAGTGCTATATTTGCATTAGGTCTGAAAGCGAGGACAATTCTGTAGTGCACTGCTACTCAAGTGTGATTGATATCGATCTTTGGGGACAGATATCTGCTATGCCTTTATGGAATGTTGCTGATAATAGTTGTGTAAGGTATTTGAAGCAAAAGCTCAGGGACTTTTTAAGTGACAGTATTGATTAAACTTTTGCTGGAAATGTTTAATCTCACATTAGAAATATTTATGGAAGTGGTAGGTTGACAGAGATGGTTGAGTATGCCCCCCAGTGGCTTAAGCCCTTGGGTCAATATTCTCTGAATTGAAGTTATAGATGCATTTTTTCCTCTATAGGACAGTCCTCTACTTGTCCTGCAAGGTCCTTCTTCTTCTGTACAAATATATGAGGGTTCTCTTTGTTATGCTAGTTGTTGTATGTCTTGGTTAGAATGTGGCAAAAGAAAGGAAGAAGTGTGTTGGTTTCTTAAATCTCTTATCAATGCTTTTACTAATGCATGGCTTAGTGATGTGCATGAAAAAGTACTAGTTTTATTTCCCGTGGTTATTTATTTATTTATGCCTTCTGGTATACATATAAATTGGTTTTGTCATCTGCCTTCTAATTGTTAGTATAAGTTAATCAATGAAGCATGCTTCGATCAGTTATAGGTTTTGGTTTTTACATAGGCATATGTCCAGCAGCTTGAGAATAGTCGACTTAGGCTTACACAACTAGAGCAGGAGCTTCAAAGAGCACGACAGCAGGTATGAGAATTAGTTCTGTTTATTGTAGGGTGGGGCTTAAGGGAGGGGATTTACTATCTCTAGTTCTGAATGCACTTTCTTTTGCTTTATTCTTTAGTTCTTATTGATTTAATGCCATAAATTGAAAGGCTATCATATTCATTATTGGTGTATTAACCAAAGTTATTTTTGTCCCTCATTAGCTTGATGTTTTAATGCAGGGAATTTTTATCTCATCTGGACTTTCTGGGGACCATGGCCATTCAGTTGCTGGAAATGGTGAGCAAATTTTAAATGCTGATTTGGGTGGCAGTTCAATGTTGTTTGATCATTCACAGTGGCATCGTGATGGGACTGAGATATTGGCCGTATAACAAACCCAAAGTCATTCACAGTGGCATTATGAGTTGGCTAAAGATATAACAAACCTGAAGTCATTCACTTGCATCGTGATGGGGCAGAGATATTATAGTAAATAAAGAAAATAGTGGATAAAATATATTGTAGTACTTGATAATTATGAACAATATATCTGGCAAGCCCAGTTTTCATCTTGTATAAAGAGGCTCATATACCTCTACTATTGTACAGGTGCCTGGAATTAGTGGCTTGCTTCTATATGCTAAGGGTCAAACCTTTTCTATATCTTAGGTGGTGGTGTTGTTTATAGTTTGGGTAGGAGATCTACTGATTGCTGAAAGCTATTGTATTGGATCACTATAGATAGAACTCATTCATTTTTATTATTTAAAAGATGATTTTTTTCCCAGATGGTTTATTTGTTTCTTATGCTTCCAGGGGCCTTGGCCTTTGACATGGACTATGCTCACTGGCTTGAAGATCATCAGCGGCTGATAAATGACCTAAGATCTGCTGTAAATTCTCACATGGGAGATAATGAATTGCGCATTCTTGTGGAGGGTGTCATGGCACATTATGATGAGGTTTTTAGGCTAAAAAGCATTGGTGCTAAGGCTGATGTATTTCACATGCTTTCTGGTATGTGGAAGACACCTGCAGAGAGGTGTTTCATGTGGTTGGGGGGCTTTCGTTCATCTGAACTTCTCAAGGTGCTTTACTGTTTGATGTTTTAATTCTATTATCTAAATCTGATTTCTTTTGAATTACTTGAAATATCTGTTTTGGTTGACAAATCCTTGATCTTGGAATTTTAGATCCTTGGAAACCACCTTGAGCCTTTGACAGACCAACAATTAATGGGCATATGTAATCTGCAGCAGTCCTCCCAACAGGCTGAAGATGCCTTATCACAAGGAATGGAAGCGCTGCAACAATCTTTAGTAGACACCCTTTCATCTGCATGTTTGGGTCCTACTGGTTCTGGAAATGTTGCAGACTATATGGGACAGATGGCAATTGCCATGGGCAAGCTAGCCACATTGGAGAACTTCCTTCACCAGGTAAATAACTTTTACCTCACCCATCTCAAGTACTATGGACTGAACAGCTTGTTGTCGTTTTAATGAGTGCCACTTCAATTTCCAGGCTGATCTCTTGAGACAACAAACCCTGCAACAAATGCAACGAATTTTGACTACTCGCCAAGCAGCCCGTGCCCTGCTAGTTATTAGTGATTACACTTCTCGGCTCCGGGCACTTAGCTCTTTATGGTTAGCCCGCCCTAGAAATTGATATTCTTTCATTCCGTGAAGCTCTTCTTGATTTCATTAATGCTTTGCACAGAATAGTTCAGCTATTTCACCTTCTTTTGGAACCCATTGAAGGTGCTTGGAAGGGGATGGTGAACCATGATGTCATATGTCCCAAAGATAACTGTTGGTTGCAGTGGTTGTAATTTGGTCAGCAATCCAAGGAAAAAAAAATTTCGCCTATTCGCCTACAGAAATGGCAGTATTGAGAAGAGCGCTGTATATTAAATTGGATCTGAAAATGTATTGTGATTGTCGGTAGTAATCTCACATGTGAGGCATATCATCCAAGGCATTGATGGTGGTAGTAATCGCCTTGGTGCATTGCTAACTTTGTTCAATGCTCCAAAGCATGTAACGGTATATAGATTATAGTAACATGTCAGTTGTTCCATGTACTGGCTGTGTATCCCAAATTATGGTTATGTTTCAAATCGGAGTGGACCAGTGCTTTTAGCAATTTACTGGTTGATTCTTGTTATCATAATATTCTGGTGTAGTAAAAGCCCCTATTACATGTTCTAATGTAATCAATGATAGACAAAAGTTATTTACAGTTTCTTAGTTTTGTAAAACAAGGTTGTACAATTCCGAGCCTGTTGAGCCTGCATAACGGTTCTGCTTGTTCATGATTGTTTGGTCCCTACTGGCCTGTACAGTTCTCTCTTGTTCATCCTTCCTGTAGGTTACCAGGTCAATGTTTGTCATTGCAGAACAGTCCATTTTGAGTACCAAAGCTGAAACCAGAAGATAAGGGAAATTGTTGTTTCTTCGAATGAAAACTGGCCCTTATAATCTAGAAATGTGCATACCTGGCCTATGGCGTCTTCTGGATTTGACGATATGGGGGATAAAAACTCCCGTTCCATTGGCATTTCTCCACAGATTTGCAAGCCAAGTTGGTACTGAGTCTGTGTTCTCGCTTTCCCACGAACTGAAATATCCTCCGTATTGTAACGAAGAAGATAGATTACCAACTGCTCTGTTTGATCCTGGTTTGCCATAGCAGACGGGGTGGAAGCTTTTTGTTTCTTGACAATCTTCGTCATCATCTGCTGTCAAAAGCAGAATCCGTCTTCTGATATCAGCATAGAAAACATCATCTTCATCAATCCCTTCATATTCATAGCCAAGGTCCATGTTCCTGTTCATGTCCATGGTAGGCTGGAGTCTGTCCTGAAATTCCCTAGGGAAAAACTTGATTTCCTAATGGCATGGTTTGGACATTTTTATAGGGGAATCTGGAGTACAAATTACTTTGTTTAGGGTCAATGTTGCAGGTCCAAAGAAACCTGGTGGTTTGAGTCCTCTCCAAATGGGATCCTGATCCAGGGAATGTCCCTCTTTTTGTACGTTAGTTCATGTTCCTGTCTTAATCCCCTTTATTCAATATTAAAACCTTCCAGGACTGGTTTGTTGAACCAAGTGGATTAGAATGGATTTTGGGACCTTTACTTTTCAAGCACTTCACGTTCAAATGCAGTCAATTTTGACTAAGAAAATGATTTTAAGTTCATGGAATCTGAGTCCTTTTTTTATTGCTTAAACAAGAGGTTAAAAATAATTTGGGGTATCAAATCAAATATGCCCTGGTTGACTGCTATAGCAGATACCTCTATCAGTTGAGTGGTTAGACCATAAAAACATGAATATTTGGGGATGGGAAGTTGATCAACCTCCCTGGCAACCTACCCTTTGAATTTGGGAATTTTTGGGATTCTCTGTTTCTTTGAACTTAATTTAGCTATGGAGAAATCATAGAACTAGCCATTTCCTTTTCCAGCCCAATCCATTGTGCAACAGTAGGTTATGATTAGATTGTGTGATCTTTATTTTTAATTGAATTTTAATTTTTTTAATGTAAATATCAATTATCATATCATACATGTAAATAGATATGATTAATTTGTATTGAAAAATTAATAGTACAAATAAATATAAAGTCATTTTAGAACATTTTCTCCTAAGTGCTTTTTTATTTTTTATTTTTAAGATTATTGAAATAAATAAATTATTTGGTCAATTAATATCTTGAAAGTTGAAACCAAATTAGTTCATCCATCTTAACTATGTTAATCCACCTAATGTAAGGATAACTTCTAGCTAAATATAGAACTTTCTATATTTATAAACAACTTCATTGCCATACTTTCTCTCTAAAAACAGATGTCTTTGGCATGTAAAGGGCTTTTTAATTTATGGAAGGATGAATTTGGGGTGGGATTTACAAAACCAGAAGATGAAGAAGATGAGAATTTCACACACACATAACACAGAAAGAAAATGTCATTTCTGAGTTCTACACAAACACAGCCTGTTCCGCTAGGGTACCATGCGAGGTACCACAATGGGGGGAGTCATTGCTTCCTCTTTCCACTTGGACACATTCCCCTCCCAACCTTCAAAAAGGCCATTCAATTGCAAATTGCAACTTATAGTTAGCTTCATGAAATTTGAGACAAATACTATTAAATATGAACAAAATATAACTATAGCGATTGCATACATTGATAAAGACGGACAGGAAGAATAATTGTGTTAGCTCCAAGAAGAAATATGTTTAAATGAGAATTGTTGGGATCAAATTTGGGCATAATCTGCCCTGACCGAGTAGAATTTCTCAACAAAGAATAATAGGAATTCAAGGTGATAGATTTACCTAAGCTTGGATCAGCTCCGCGGGTTCGGAGTTCCCTGTGCTCTTGACAAAGAGCGCACCACATGCACAGAAGGTGAGTGGACCAATCCGGCAATGGTGACTCTGGCAACGAGAAGTGTTGCCTCAAGCTTGTACGGTTTGTCGAACCAAATATCCACCCAAACAGCACAACCCCCGTAGCAACGTGAAGGAGGCTTGCCCATCTGCAAGCTGCTCATGCAACTTATAAGGAAAATCGGTCGCAATAATTAGATGGTCGTAACAACAATTTCAACTGTGTTTCAATTCGGGAAAGTTCTTGATAATCCTATAACAAGAGTTTTGCTTACATATTTCTCCTCTGTTGACGATCTCGGAGTTTTGTCCCATGGTGATGCATGGACACAAGCAGGTAAAGAAACCTTCACCAGGGCAGATAAAATTACAACAAAATTTGCATTAATTACTAGAAGAAAAGGAAAATGTAAAGAAAAAAAAAAAAGGATAAAGAGATTGAATGGAAGCAAATTACAATTAGAAAGATCCTCGTAACACTCGCAAATACTGGTTGTCCACAGTCCTTCTGGCAACTGCTTCATCATGTATGCTTGATATGAAGCTTCAGGGTCCGGAACGAACACCGGAATCGCAGTTTCAGTTTTAGGTAGAAACATTGCAGCTAGCTTTCTGCTCAAAAAAAAAAAACATAAATAGGTAAAAAACCAATGACTTTCGTACAAAAAACAAGAACTCCCTTATTGCATTATGTCAAAGTGTTTCTTCCATTAAAAAAACCCAAAAAATAAAAAAAATTCTGGGTTTGGCTCTAATTAGGTCAAGTGTTCATGCCACTGCAGATAGATACATAGTAAATAATTGGTGCAATCGGAACATGCTTTAACTAGCCAACGGCTAAATATGGAACCAATTTAGCAGAAGAGAAGACCCCTTTTGTTCCCCTTTTTTCCTCCCTAAATATAGTGCAGATAATCTAGTACTAGGATTAAAGATTGCTTCGGTCAAAACAGTACTATTGTTGGCCCTGGATTATAGGACAAATTGAAGGGACAATTTACCTAGTTTATATAGATTAATATGATTGTGCCCCTTAAAATACAGAGACGATAGTAATTGGCTGTATTCTTTTTAGTACATGTTATCTTAAGATATACTCATCCAACTTATTTGAAGGCTAGAAAATCGAATGTATAACCCTTTATATATAGTTTTTTGTTTTAAAAAGATGGGGTGAGGTCCGGGAGGAATAGTGAAAAATTGATTGTATCAAAAAGAATTAATGATTACAATTTAATTTTGGCTTGATTATATATGATTTTCTTAACGAGAATCATGACTACGTATCATTTCTTAAATACTCAATAAAATTTTATTTAAACGAGCAAACGAAATATATGCAGGTTAATTGAATTTGAAGAGGGTAATAAACTTCATTAGGATTCATACCTTCAACTTCTTTTACTTTGTCCTTGGCCCTGATTATCACGGTTTGAGATGTTTCACCTCCCTTGTTCCAATCCTCCAATTATGACTTATTGTTTTCGCATTCAAATGATGTTTGGAACTCCTAATAGTTATACCCTCTTGAGGAAAGTCTCTTTCATTACACTTTGCTGTAGAAATTTAAAGGGATTGGTAGTTGGGATAGATGAGAAATCAGAAGGAATTTCAAGATTCTTTTTGGATAACCAAAAGAGATATGAATCTAAATTCCATACTTCCACATATACTTGAATCGAAGTTAGATTCATTTGGATTGGATATTATATATGTATGTAGTTATTTTTGGATTAAAGGCTTCTTTAAGCCATTTTAATTAGGCTAATTAATAAGCAAAAAAAGCTTAGAGATCTTGAGGTAATGCGAAGAATTTGCACGACCCGGCATGCTGTTTAAGTAGATCTATAAGTAGCTTCCAAAGTGAAGGGTAGATAATTAGGGTACTCGATCCTTGGATTGAGATCTAATAGTAGGTTAATTTCTATTTCAAGCTGTTAATTATTATTTACGTGTGGAGACACTAAAACTATTACGCGAGTATGAATTTCACATATAAAGATAACAAGTTTAATTCAATATTTGCTTGATAAATATATTTATTCTATTGATAATCAATGCATGTCGAGATGTATATAGAGAAGAATTTTGCGATGATAGATAACAAGCAACATCTTCTGTTTATAGGACTATGGAAACTGTTTCAGTGTAATTTAAAGTTTAAACAATACAAAAGGGTACAAAGATCAAACTACAAGGCAATCCGAAGTAACATTATGTACCATAAAGTTTCAAAGCAAGTCTGAACAAAAGATCCAAACCACTCTGGACAAATCAGGATACAAATGGACTAGAATTACAAACATGTAATGATGAAACAACCATGTTTAAGATATGCTGAAAAGAATCACGATCAAGCACCCTTTCTGTAGTTGCAGATACCCAACCAAGTCAACGGTTCATTCCTGGTGGGGAAATTGGTGGTTTGAGTCCACCCCGTTTCCACTTCTCAACATTAGCTTGCCAACCTTCAGAAATCAGTCACCAGTACTTGTTAAGGTTATACATGGCATCCAGCTTGTTTTAATGATTTGGATGAGGATAGGATGAATTACCTATGGAGGGATCTACCCCTCGGTTCTTGAGCTCTCTGTACTCCTGAGAGAGGGAGCAGAGGCAGCAGCAGCAATGAACCAAATTATCTCCGCATGGAGTCTCAGGAAGTGAAAAGACTTGTCGTAGTTTGGTTCGGTACAGGCCACCGTAGAGCCATGCACAATGGATGGAGTTCATAGCATAGTAGACGAGGCACGAGAGTCCACGTGCTGCTCATTCAATGTCAAAAATGTCAATCCTATGTATAATAGTAATTTAACAATATCATAATTGTATGGCCATATAACAAAATCTCATTGATTTAATTAATCCCTCAAATATATATGGAGATAAAGTTGATAAGAGCTTACATCTATCCCCTCTATCAATTATCTCAGCTATCCGGCCGAAGGTGATGCATGGACAGAAACAGGTGGTTAAGCCTTCAGAAAAGAAAATTGACTTCTTGATTAGTGACAAGGAGATAGAAAAAAGCAGCAATAAGAAACAGCAAACTTGAATATGAGTGAAGCTGCAATTACAATTAGAGGGATCGTCGCAACAATCATAGAGACCAGTCGTCCATTGCCCTTCGGGATACTGCTCCTGATGTGGAGCAGATTTTGGACTGGCGGCTTCGGGATTTTTGGGATGCATAACAGATAATTGTCCTGCCAGCTAGAAATTAACAAGGGAGTTGATGATCTAGGAGGGAGGTTAGTGTGTTTGAGCCATGTCATTGGTTTCTCAGATATATACAGGATGTCTGGCTTCCCTCTGGTGCGTTTGAGGTTTGAATTTGTATGGAAACTTCAGATTAGATTATTACCATAAGTAATGTGATTGACCATCCACACTGCTACTGCTTTAAACAAAGCAATTTTCATATTGCTGATAATTAAATTATGGCTTGAGATCTGTCATAGGAAACTAACTATGATGATGTACGAATCAAAATATACATGAGATTCCTGGAAAACACCTGAACTCAAAACAGATAGAACAAAGTCTTCAGTCAGAAACGCAAATAGCAGAGTGACACTCAACCCCTATTTTTTACTAAAAATTTGTGGCCATTGTTCATGTTGATTGGGACCTTGATTTTTTTTTCTCAGTCAATTCAGAATCATGTCATTAATTGATAAAAATATACACAAGCTTGGGAAGGTCAAGATAGAGCAGGCCTATGGCCATAAGGCCCATAATACACCTGTCCATACGAAATTGGGACTTTTAAGGTTAGGCGTTATAGATATGCTGACATTGTCCCCCAATTCGGCCTTTGACAGAGGCTTTTTTTAATTCGTCATTGACTTCAGCCATGAGAAGAACTAGGGAAATTCTATCCCGGGAAACTTCATTCAAGTTACATGCTGGTAAGGAAATTTGCGTTCTCACTTTCCATGAATATATCTATATATATATAATCAGGCATGGTTGAAGAATTCAAGTCTTTTTAAATTAATGTGCAAATTTCAGTCCTTGGCATGGCAGTGATTCTTGTTCTCAAGGTTGTGTCTAGCTGATTCTGTTTCAGAACCAACATGATATTGATGACAATATAAATGTCAGAAGCAAAGGCTAGCAATACCATCCTTTTCCCAAATTGGAGTATTTCTTGATTTTTTTCCTGAACAATATATTTATACTTGTTCTTTGATTGTTTCATACGCTTTTAGATTTACATCTTCCATTAGCTGACTCTCATTACAGTTGGAGTTTTTGGATTAAAATGTAAAAGAGGTTAGAGTATTTTCCCATTTGTGTAAGCAATTCCTTGCCCTGTAGCCGAGCCCAGCAGAATGAATGGATCAATCAATGGAAAAATCATGCAATAGAATATCTCGAAAGACAATTCCTCCATATTTTAAGATTTTGTAATTTAAATAGGTTGCTTTCAAAATCTATGACAAATTCATAAACACATATATATTGAATTCAAAAGTTTAACTTGATGGGTTTATAAGATATATATTTATTCTAATCAAATTTTAATATACATACATATATACGGTTAAATTTTATGTTAACCAGTGGATAAGCTAATTGCATTTTTCTATCTCAATTTTCCAATTTTAGCTTAGATAGCTTCAATGAAATGGCTCCTCATAAAGTCAATTCTCTGCTAATCAAATAAAGTCAATTCCCGCTTCATGCCCCCGGTACTGCTGAAATCTTTCGGTGGTTGGTGTAATATCATTAGTATAATTACTTGATTCCATGGTTTTTCATTCTGTTATTACAAATTAACTAGACAAACCTAGGTGATCACAATTGATTAAGCCTTTGGTACCCCTTGTCAGCCAAGCCAGGAATCAAATGTGTCTTCTATAATTTACACTGCAAGAAACATAAGGAGAAGCAAGCCTAAGCCTGATTGCCCAAGATCAGGAAGGTGGGGAGAATACAGATGGAATCCCAGCTCCGGCCTGATCAATCTCCTCAGCCTCAACCCCGTGGCTATTATTCCTTCTCGCCACACCCACAGCAAACCATCATTCACCCGCAGCCTCAAAATATTGTTAATCATGTTGTTCAGGTCCCACCATAGCAACAAAGCATTCGTCCAATGCCAATGCCACAAAATCAACTTGTCACTACTATTCAATGGCTCATTGCAAAGCAATGCAGGTGTTGCGGCCACCGCTGGAATGCCCGTGCGACTCATGCCAATGCCTTCGCCACCAGTGAAAGTCGTTCCCACTGGTCCTTGAACCACCGAGCTCTTTGATTGCATGGAAGATCCAACCAACGGTGAGGTCCTTTGTATGCTCATCTTTGTAAGTAAATTTGTACTTCCAGTTCACTTTGTCTAATTTTTAGTTTCATGTTTGATAAATTAGTAACATTGAGGTTGATTTAGAGTAACATTCACTAGATAGTATGCCCTCTCTTTGTCTGTTGCTTCTTGTTGCTGGGTTTTAATGCATGCCTCTGTGACAGAGAGCTTTCTTAGGCTGTTATGCTCTGGAAAAGTTTATGACCTGCAGAAGGATGAAAGACTCACAGTGGTTATGTTCCCCTCTCTTACTTATCCCTCTGTCTCTTTTTGCTTCAGGCCTGGTTGTGGTCTTTTGCTTGTTTTGTTTTACTGTCAAATCTCTTGTACAGGACTTGATTTTCCTAGTCTGATTTTGTCAGGTTCTCTCTCTTTTTGTGTAAATGGGTTTCCCTTTTGATATAAATACACCACATATTTAATTTTTTTTAAAAAAAAACATTTACTAGATAGTAATAAAGATAATTTCATATTATTTCGAACAACAAGATTTGAAATTTTATTTTGAGATTTTGAAATTTATTATAATACATGGTCAATTTATCATTTTTGTACATAATAGTTTTTGAAAAAAATTTAAATTTAATTTGACAATTGTTATTTGAATGCCCTCTCTCCCTTCGGACTTTAAAACGACATGAAAGTTTACATTTAAAAAATATTCAATAAAATCAAAGCCGTTTTCATATATATTAGCCTTATGGTATCAAACACTTTACCAGGATTATTGATGGGTCTAATTTCTTGTAATGTTCTTGTAGCTCTCATCACAGCTAAGCATTGACTTTTGGGCGGAGAGTAGATGTCCTAGACAGCGGGCACACAAGTAATAACAGTATATACCATTAATTAAAACTTCGGTTTTTTTTTGAAAACGAATTTCCCATTTGAGGCCACTTGGCTTGCTGCTCGTTGACTAATAGTTTGTGCAACGAATAAAAATGCAGCTTGTGCCACTAGGGGAATTATTTATGCTTTTGCTCCTTGCTTGGTGTCTGGCCCCTATCGTAAAAAGCTGAGGCGGCGTTTTGGGTTGGCGGAGGCCCCTGCCTCAGATTGGATTACTCACACCATGTTCGAGCCATATGCTCTCTGTCAAGAATATTGACAACTCAACAACCGAGGGTTCAACCCTGCACTGGGTAATTTTATACAGACATGCGAAGGATTGTATTCATATCTTGATCGTAGCATGGTATTCCTATGCTTAACATCATTTGGCTTGGGAGACCCTTTTTCCAGTCACATTTGATTTCGTCAATACCAATCATTTTTATTTATTCGTACATAAATTTCATCCGTCCATTCATATGATAATTGGTATTTACAATGAAAACCTGAAACATGCTTAATCATTTTTTGGTTGGTGCATAGAGGACACCATGGAAATCTGAATAAACAACAAATTTCACCCATGATGGTGCCCCCAAGGAATCAAATGATGACCTAAAAACCGTTGACATTGCGTTTCTGAAGCTATATATACATGGGGGTTTTTTTTTTCAAGTGGTTTGGATTCAGATAAACAATATATATTCTATGATCGGTATTATTCTCCAATTTTGTGGAAAAAGTAGAAAATGACCAAGAATAAATATTGAGGTCACTTGGCTGACCAAATTGGTTTTTATTTTATAATGGAATATGTGCATATATAATAAATTGTTCTTGCTATCTTTTTTTCATGCATGGCAGATTAATTTATACGTTATTTCAACGGTGTTCATGGACTATCTTTCTATTTATTTATTTGAACGTAATAATTATAATGCTTCAACGGTTTCCCAACTGTTTTTCTTTGAAACGACATGTTCCTCCTCAATGCAATATTAATTTGGAAAACTGAACACTTTTGAACGTAGAAACCAATTCTTCGATCTTTCCCTGTCACTTGATAAACATAATGTATACTCCTAGTTCCATGGAGTTTGGAAAAGAGTCACCATTTCCGATACCTTCAGCGCCTCCATATCCACCATCGCCTCCGCTAGCGTCCCTTCCTTCTCACGTGGAGCATTCAACGGTTACAACCACTGGTATACCGTTGAACAAAACTAAGCCATCGAATCCTCCAACTGCTCCTAATCCAGATTCTCATTCTCCAGTGGCGTGGTCCACTGGCCTTTGTGATTGTTGCGACGATTGTAACAGTTGTAAGTCACACTTTGATCATGGCCTCTTCGATTTAAAAATTGGTTGAATATGATTGAATTTTATATTTCTTTGACAGAATTACCAATGTGATTGAATATGGCAGGTTGCTTGACTTGTTGGTGTCCATGTGTAACATTTGGTCGGATTGCAGAAATGGCTGACAGAGGATCTACCTGTAATTATTTTTTTTTAAAAAATAGAAATTACCCTTTTAATCACTCAGAATTTCCCTTTAATTGCCAATAAATTATAAGTTTTTTAATCCGAAAATGGTGTGTTGGTGCAGCATGTGGAGTGAGCGGAGCACTTTACATGTTGATACTGTGCGTGACGGGTTGTTCCTGCTTGTACTCATGCTTCTATCGATCCAAGTTGAGAGGGCAATATTTCTTGAAGGAGAGCCCTTGCACCGATTGCTGTATCCATTGCTGCTGTGAAGAATGTGCACTGTGCCAAGAGTACAGAGAGCTCAAAAACCACGGTTTCGACATGTCTATAGGTCTGTATATACATTTAGAGATCAAATATCTTCTTTATCCTACTTTCAGGATCCAATAAAAAGACATGAACCACGCACAAATGACATTGTTTCGAGTTAAACTCATTATTAGATTGTGGGAGTCGGACCAGTAATGAATAAGTTTTGTGTTTAATTTAATTTATTTTTTTATTTTGTTCATGATGATGGAATAGGGTGGCATGGAAACATGGAAAGGAAGAAACGAATGGCTGCATTGCCTCCATCAATAGAAGTCGGCATGTTTCGATCGACCTAATAACTAATGAAGGATTTGATGTAATTTTAGTTATTTTTCCATTTTTTTTCCTGTTAATCTACACTGTATACAAATAGTGTCAAACCTTAGCATGCATGAACCACATTCTAACCAAGTCATTTCCCAGTTTCTGTCATTCTTTTTCCATCGTTTGATATTTCTCAATCTCTCTCTAAACCCATAGATTTCAAGAGGCCGACATAAGGCAGCAAATTGTCAACAAGAAAAGTGGGTACGTGTGCAAACAGAGTAACAGTGAGACTTATGTATGGTTTACATAAGTTTTTGCAATTGATATAACAACTTATAGACAATAATTTATACTATTCTATTACTTAAATGATTGATGTTATCAAATTACTACTATTAAGAATGAATATATATTTATATATATACTTCTTGTGGGAAGCCAGGAGGGATAATTGGTGATATTTATTCTATTGTTCCATGCCATGTGAACATCACCTGATTTTCCTTTTCTTATTCTTTTTTTTTTGTTTCTTATTCTTTTTTTTTTCTTATTCTTTTCCTTTTCTTATTCTATTGAAACGTAAGATCTAAAAGATTCAACCTCCTCAGCATGATGAATATCTTAGTCCCTGAATTGTGGCATAGGTTGAATGTTTTTGTTATTTGTCATCCGTTAGTGGGGATGGTGGCTTGAAGGCTATTGCAATGGTAGTGGACATGAGATAAGTGGAATTACCTAGAGGGTTGTAAGCTTGAAAAAACTAATCATAGTTAAAGCCTGGTGGAGAGCTGGAGAAACGTGTATGACCGAATTTAAAAGTCAGGCTTCCAGGGCCTCGATTGACTTCTTAGTATTTTAATCTTGAGGGAAGACCTCTGTTTTCATAACTCATAAACGTCATGTTAATTTTTCCTTCGCAATTAAGCCGACCAAAATTTGCTCCAACATGACAGTGGACCATGATAAAAACTTAATAATTCAGCAAAAACGATAGACCCCATTGCCTTGATTCGATGTGAAGACATGTGGCTTCTACCCAATTGCCCACTTGGCAGCGAAGGATATTCTAAGCACCTCTCTTTCTCTATGTCCTTATCGTCTTAGTTTCCTATATAAGCTATCTTAAGCAACCGTAGTACTCCAATCTCTGATTAACTTGTTTAATTTGATTTTCATTCTATGTGAAGAAGAAGAATGGCTACCATTGCTGTGGATGATCAAAGTCTAGGCATGCAGATAGGGAGAGGCTCAAATCAACATGGGGCTGTGGTAGACGAGATTCCAGGGCTGATAAAAGTGTACAAAGATGGACATGTGGAAAGACCACAAATCGTTCCGAATGTTAACACTGCATTGGCTCCAGAGCTTGGTGTGACATCGAAAGACATGGTTATTGACGAGTTCACAAATGTTTGGGCACGTTTTTATGTCCCCAAGTCCAATCGGAACCTCCCTTGGTCGTTTACTTCCATGGGGGAGGGTTCTGTGTCGGCTCAGCAGCTTGGAGTTGCTACCACGAGTTTCTGGCAAAGCTAGCAGCCAAAGCTGGTTGCTTGATCATGTCTGTTAACTATCGTTTAGCGCCAGAAAACCCTCTTCCTGCTGCTTATGAAATGGGTTCAAATGTCTTACCTGGTTAAAACAGGAAGCAAGGAATGGGTCTGGAGAATGGTGGTCGAACCAATGCAATTTCTCTCGCGTCTTCTTAGCCGGTGACAGCGCCGGTGCCAATATCGCCCATAATGTGGCCGCAAGACTTGGCTCTCACAACCCATACCCTTTACTCTCAAGGGTACTATCTTAATACAACCGTTTTTTGGAGGAGAAACACGTACGAATTCAGAAAAGAATATGGTCCAGTCACCTCGCTCAGCCCTCAGCCTAGCAGCTTCGGATACATATTGGCGATTGGCTTTGCCATGTGGCTCCAGCCTTGACCATCCATGGTGCAATCCTTTGGGAAAAGGTCAGCAAAAATGGAGGGGATGAGGCTCTTGCCCACCCTAGTGTGCATATCAGAGACGGATATACTGAAAGACAGGAACCTGGAGTTCTGCGCTGCCTTGGGTAGAGCGGGGAAGAAGGTGGAGCATGTGTTGTATGGAGGTGTTGGCCATGCATTTCAGGTCCTTAGCAAGTTCCAGCTCTCACAAACTCGAACCCATGAAATGATAGGCCATGTCAAGGCCTTCATCTATCAGTGATTATGATCTTCCTTAAATTTTGATTTCCAAACATCAAAGTGTAATTTGTGTGTCATAGCCAATAGCTAGTGCTGAGGAAAAGTGAAATGTACATCTCTAAATTCAGAAATTCTGTGTATAGACAAGAGTAATTCTATTTATATCTCTAGCTTTTTAAGTAGTGGAAAGGGTCCTTTTTTTTTTCTGTCATTTGATTGATGGATGTGCGTTTCCATATGTGGAGCAATAAGAACAGCAAAGAAACGCCTATGCACTGTAATGAGCACTAACATATAGTTTTCTCTATAGTGGACCCTAATTCCATATATAGCCCGTTCCAATCCTTCAAAAGATCTAGAAAATTATGAAAACTCTTTCATTAAATCGATACCATACTTAATTTTACTTTAGAGAAGTAAATCATTATACCGATTAATTGTAAAAAGCAGAATAGACAAAAATGATATGTGAGTCGCAAGATGTTGATTTTGATCTTATATTGTTTTTGTTCATGTTTTTATATTGTGATTTTGAATATGTGACAAAAAAGTTCTAAGATCTGTATTTCTTTTACATGACATTTTTGCTCGGGACCTTTCTTCCGGTGAATGTTACCAAAGGAAGACTAAAATTTAAGTACTTGTTTATATAATTAAACATATATTATAAATTATACGCATGGCTGGAAGTTATATTCGTTATTCGAAAAGTTAAATCAAATTTCTCTTTTAAAATAATTAAAATAAGTAATTAATATGTATAAAAGTGTTCTTTTTTTTTTGTTGTGTGTGTGTGTGTAATTGACGGAAATAGTTATTCTTCATGGGAAAAATGTAACTCGTCTTACCCATTGGACATGGAGATACCCAAAAATTGGATTTATTTCAAGTGGTCATTATTGTCTTAAGATTATCTGCCTGCTAGAAACCTTTTGACTTGTGCATTACAGGCAATGGAATCTGCCCCAATGTTGCAATGAGACTTAGAGGAAACCATCGAACATGGCCATTGGCCCCCACACTGACCTGATTGCTATTTGGAGTCAGCTTAATGCTCAAGGATTTCATCAATGGAACCCGACAAGTTGCCTGTACTTCGATGCTTGGGATACGGAACCATCCTTTGTAGGGGATTCCCATGGAATATATTTTCTTCTTGATAATATATACCAAACTTGAAGCGAATCATCACTAAAGTAAAGCACTAACATCGAATAGGGATTATCTCCTGGCTTCTAATGGTTTTTTTCAAGCTTACCATGGATACCTGCTTGGGCAATTTAAGCTGAAGTTAGTATTTAAATATTTGACTCATTAATTAGTGTATAATTTTGTATGATCTAAGTTCAACCATTGGATTAGTAACTTCATACATCATATCCATAGGACCAAGGTGAGAAGCGATATGAGCTAGTTAGTGTATAATTTTGTTACGATCCAAATCCAACCATTGATTCAGGACCAAAATCTCACCAGAGCAATAAGCAATGTGAATGTTACCATTTTTAACGACCTAAGTCTAACCACTAAACCAGCAGCTTTTTAAGCTTAAACCACATGGTTTTCAAAAACTTAAACTTAAGTTGTTAATAATAATAGACTTGAATTGTTATATAAATCTTAACAATCACATTCATATCAGATGTGGGATGTTAAATATCATAATTTTTCATATTTAAAACCTAAGGTTCGAATCTCTTTTTCTTTCGAATCTCCTTTTCTTAAATTTAAAAAAAAAATTAAAATGATACTGGTGTAGAAGCATACTTAGATATCAAAAATGGAAAGTTTATTGCTTCTGTCTCACCTAAGTTAGGCGCCTCAAGAGGTCTTGGTGTTGAGTTATTATGAACTAATAATTAATCTAAATACAATAATTGAAAAGATTAACAACCAAAATAATAAAAACTTCATTAAAAGAGAGTAAGAACTTGTAGTGCAATTTACTTGGAAATTACTCATGCGAACCAAACATAATATGAATCTTTTGTCTATTATAGACAAGTAGTAAAGATTCAATATACAATGGTACAAACTAATACAGATATGCCAAAAAAAAATTTAAAAAAAACTTAAATAACAAAAAAGTTTTCAAATTATACCCATTTATGAATTAAACCCTTATTTTTTTTATCGGATTAATATTTTGAATTGTATCCGCACAAATCTTTAACCCTAATAAAAAAAATTAACAATCCTCAAACTTAATGTCAACTGATTTAACATTAATTGATACGTGATCGCATCAAATATCACAATCTTGACAAATAATTTTTTGAGTGTAATGAAATTTTAAAATGTATTGATAAACTCAATTGTCGATGTCTACCAAGTGATAGAGTGACAAGTATTTATTACCTCAAAAATTAAAAAGAAAATGACATATTGATTACCCTAAAAATAGAAAAGAAAGTAACATGCATGTCTTTCAAAAGTCTAAATCTGTCTTGAGTCCAAGGTTTGAGAATAACCATAATTTGTTCGAATGCTCAAATATGGGGAGGTTGCATATACACATTTGACTAAGGAAAGGTACCACATCAACCCTAAACCCTTGTTAAGGTCCGAGGTCGAGGTTCTTTACAACCTCGTTGTTGGTACCTTCATGTGTTCCTTCATGCCTTGATATTCTTGCTCAAATGAATGTTCCATGTATATCTAACATGTCCAAAAGAAATGATCTATAAGTATATTTTCAAAGAGAAAAGATCAAGATTATTTATATATATGTAAATAAAGATGATGATGATGAGTACCTGTCGAATTTCAGAACAAATTAATATCGTTTGGGATTTCTTGTTGATCTTCATCTTGGGTTGCTTCTATGTTATTCACAGCATTAAATCTGTCGGTAAAATAATTATCGATGGATTGTGGATAGAGTACCATGTATTTCTTGCAAGGAAATGACGAAGGCACTGTTCACTAATGAATAGAGAGACTTGGTGGTGGGGTTCAACGTGGCTGAGCAACCATTCCAACGTGACAAACGCTTCAACCACCGAAATCTACTCATCGTAAAAGCCTGCCGTAGCACTCGTCTTTGTCAATTAAGACTTCTTATTTTAGTGTATTTTATATTAAAATTTGATTTTTTTTATATGTTTAATATTTAATGTTTTTTAAGATGGAGTAATGTTATTTAAATGTACTATTGTACAAAATTATATAAACTATACATTAAATACATTTTCTTTTTACATAAATATTTAACATTTTAATAAATCAATGTCTATAAACATAAGTTACAATGTTTTCTTAAATAGAAAATAAATTATGTTCGGTCCATTGATCCTTGATTAACCACTTGATACATACTTACATGAAACGATCGGAAAATAAAATTTCCCTCAATAATCTTATTTGAAATTTGGCAAATAAAAATTAAAAGAAACTATTTTTAAAAAATAGTAATTTTTTTTAAAAAAAAAATTGAAGAAGAGGGATTTAAATATGAATCTTTGTACAGAGAATTCATGTACTATTGTCAAATGCTTGAATGTAAAAAAAAAAAATAGATAACACACGTGCTGTGACAAGTATGTGTGGTCTGCAGCCAGTTGACAAACTTCGCTCCAAATATTTATTACACTTAGGCAAAATCATTCCCAAGTTCAACTTGATGTCTTAATACTTTTCAGTTTCAATATCATACTTATAAGTAGAAAATTTTTATTATTGTTTTTAGATACATACGAAAGAGATATGAACCGAGAATTTTGAATCTTGAACTTCGAAACATTTTTTATGAAGTTAATAATTAATGGGTCAAAAATCAAATTTAAAATATTTTTTTTTTACAATTTTATAGAACGAGTTTATCCTCATTCAAAAAATACCAACTTAATTTTTATTTTTAAGTTTCAGATTACATAAAGTGTATATCTTAATTTTAAATATACAATCTTGGACTACATAATAAGAAAAATAATCAATTTTTATCTTTTAAATTTAAGATTTATACTCGCGATTTAAAGTTTAAATTTTAACTATTATTTATATTTTTAAAATACATAATTTAGTATTTTTAAAAAAAAAAGCATATGAAAATTCTACAACTCGAAGATTTATTTTGTTATTTTCTCATCAGAGAAAACAAAACACATTCTTTTTTATTCAAACTCTATAGTTCAAATTATTCTTTTACATAACAGACTAGTGTTTTTTGTATGGGGTTTAGGCACAACTTCCTTCCAAAATCAATGCACCACAGCAACGCAAATTGAGATTCACGTGGAGGTCGCCACTCCGCAGCTGACCTTCATTTTTCATTTCTCTTTTTATATGCAACAAAATCAAAGCACTATCCTGTTTTTTTCTCTATGAGAAATCAGAAGAGGTAGGCAGCGGCCCTCATGTTTCTATCTTTTACTTGGCCCAAAGCTAACACCTACCAATCACCACGCGTGTCCGTGGTTTGGGCCGGGTCAAGTTTGGGTTAAGTCCATCGAACATACTTCCTAAAGTCAAACCAAAGCTCAACTCGCTGACTTTTTTAATTATTATTTTATATTTACACTTTCAAATAGATTGTAGGAAAAAAATATAATATTAAAAGAAATAAGAAGCCAAAAAATAAAAACCAATAGAATATAAACAACAAAAATCACATATATCCAAGATTAATTAGGGATATGTCTCTCAAGCTTGAGCACATTTTCAGTGGCCAAAAATAGCTTGAGCATATGGTCAGCCACAATGATACAACAAAGCTACCAATCAGAGCGTTAGGAAAGAGAAGAACCAACCTAATGGGGAAGAATAAAGCACCTCCGGCGAAGAGGTCGTTGATGATTGGGCGAAACAGGTCTATCCTAGCTGGACATCATGACATGGTCGATAGACTGAAGTGCTTGGTTAGCGAAATAGCGGACATCAACATCTGGATCCTCACCGAGCTCCACCAAGCATGGACGGATTGTCTTCTCCACCACCTATTGCAACAAACGGTAGGCCAATGCAAACCAATTAGAAAACAAAAAGGTGGAAACAAGAGGGGGGAAAACATACAAAAGGGGAAAA